TTTAACAAACTCATGTAGACTCCACCTCCGACACATCGCCAAAATACGCACGTTCCTAACCCCAGAAACCACTAAACAGCTCATCCACTCCCTCATCATATCACGACTCGATTACTGCAACTCCCTCCTTACTGGCCTGCCTCGCTGCTGGCTATCGATCAGTCGATCCTGAATACGGCTACCAGACTCATTCACCTTTCCAACCACTCCGTTTACGCCAACCCCTTCTGCCAATCCCTCCACTGGCTTCGAATTGCGCAACGGATCAAATTCAAATCCTAACACTGATGGACAAAGCTGTCCACCACACTGCCCCGAACTACATCACTGACCTAATATCCAAGTACCGCCCAGCACACACACTCCGCTCCTCACAAGACCTCCTTCTCTCTAGTTCCTGGGCTCCTCCTCCCATGCCCGCCTCCAGGACTTCTCCAGGGTGTCACCCATCCTCTGGAACTCCCTGCCCCAACCCATCAGATTATCACCTACTCTCCTCTCCTTTAGGCGCTCCCTGAAAACCCACCTCTTCAGGGAAGCCTGCCCCACCCCCTGCTAACTTGCCGACCTCCTCCACTCTTCCTACCACTCCATCACCCACAGCTTTCTCCTCCTGTGCCACCATCCCCTCCCTCCTAGATTGTAAGCTTGAAAGAGCAGGGCCCTTGATACCCTCATGTTTTGCATTGTATTGTTATTGTTCTGTCACATGTTCTGTCCCCCTTTGTAATGTACAGCGCTGAGCGAACTATTGGCGCCAGGGGCGGACTGACAATTTGGAAATTCGGGCACTGCCCGAGGGCGCGGGGTCAGTAGGGGGCCCCATAAGATGCCCCTGGTACCTCTTTCATAGGCTTTTTTGAGTTTGGGCAAGGACACAGGGGCCCCATGATCCCCTATTGCCCGGGGGCCCCATGAGTTGTCAATCCGCCCCTGATTGGCGCTTTATAAATACTGAATAATAATAATAATAGTCATTGGCCATGTATTTGCAGTGCAAACTCCATGCCAACAATGGGCAACCAGAGCAAGATGGCAGTGGCAGTGCAAACCCTATGCCAACCAAGGGCAACCAAAACAAGATGTCAGTGCAAACTGTATGCCAACCGAGGGCAACAAAAACAAGATGGCAGTGCAAACCCTATACTGCAAATCGAAACAAAAACGAGAAGCGCACCAAGCTTGTGCATTACCTCAGTAACCAAAGTTTATTAATTATAAAATAATACTCACAAACAGCGAATAAAATCAGGCATATAGGTCCTCAAAGGGACCTGAAAGGTAAAAAGCCAGCGCGGATCCCATCATGGGGGTAGATACTCAGTACAGCTGATGCGTTTCGAAGTGCATCCCTTCTTCATCAGAGCTGATTTTTTTCGCTGTTTGTGAGTATTATTTTATAATTAATAAACTTTGGTTACTGAGGTAATACGCAAGGTTGGTCGGGCTTCCCCAGCCTTATTTGGAGCTGCACAACTCTACATGCATTGGTGGTCGATCTTTCCAGGTCTGGTTCCATCTATTCGCCACCCGCCTGAATCCTTGAGCGCAGGAGATTTCGCTTATTATCTAGTGCAAACCCTATGCCATCCGAGGGCAACCAAAACAAGATGGCAGTGAAAAATCTATGCAAACTGAGGGCAACCAAAACAAGATGGCAGTGCAAACTCTATGCCAACCACGGACAACCATACCAAGGCAGCAGACAATGAGCCCAGGGTGGTACACCCATTCTGTGAATTAGCAATGGTGGAGGGGGGCACAGTTCCACATCCTTGCCCTGGGCATTGGACAAACCTACCCTGGTACTTAGTACAGCCCTGGTTAATCGCTGACACCTTTTTACAGATGATACTATACTACGAGAAAAGTAAACATATGCATGCAAAAGATGGCTGTGTATGGAACACTGGTATATTTTGAGTTAGTTATCCTTGAACTAAGGCTGAGAGATTTATAGAGATCTCATCACTTACACAAGTAAAGAAATTACCGGTAAACATTTTTTTGAGGAGAACATCTTTAAACACACTTTTTAAAACAAGTGTTTATAGATTATTGCCTCCAGCTTTCTGAATTTAGAATCATCCTCCAGTTCCTCCATCCTGTACTGACAGGGCCTAAATAAAAATCCATTATTACATCTCATAAACAACAACAACAAAAAAAAGGAAAACGGCAGCATCGCTCCTTCATTCGGCATCTTGTTAATTCTTAATTTTCCTCGGAACCGCGCTGTCTCCTTATTTTCTCATCCATTTGTCATTGGAGCCGGGGAGACCAAATCCTTCCTGGTTTAATATTTTAGTGTTTTTATGCTCGGCAATATCCCTGCTTTATCTATAATATGAAGCTTTAGCATGGAGTGGCATTTATTTAAAATTGCTTCCTTTTTCACCTCCTGTCCTGATTTATTTATTTCCATAGCTTGTATTTTTATTTTATGCATGCCTCCGGGCTTGTTTCACTCTTCAGCCATTTGATAATGACAGCAAATGCTATTCTCTCCCTTGCCTGCACATCTCTAGACTTGCTTTTCCGTTAATCATTCCGCATCAGAATGCACGCACGCCATGGACTCGCGCTCAGGTTAGCAGCAAGGTAACCTCTTCAGGCCGCACGGGGTCTGACTTGACCCTGATTCAAGAACGTTTGCCCCCCCCTCTTCTCACACAATCTGATGTATTATAATAATGTATTTATTAGATAGAAAGGCTTTCAAGGCCATGTTTGTTATTTTGGACAATGCAATTGTGTGATAAGTGTTATTAAAATTGACCTTTCAGTAACTTTACAAGACTGCATAAATACATTCCTGACGTGTTACAAGATACGGCAGCAATACAATTTGTTTAGAAAAGCTCTACCTTTTATCAATAAAAAGCAGCCCTTGAGGTTCCATCTAGTCGCTCTGCTTTGGCTGAGATGATGCCATCTGTCTGCTACAGGCATGACTAGTGCACCAGAGATAGGTTCATCCAGACCCCACTACACCACCATTACCCTTCCATACCAATCCCCTTTACTTACTATACTTACAGAAAACACAACACCAATTTTGGAGTAAAATGGCCAACACGGCCTTTTATTAACAAATCAAGTTTAAACACATCAACCGTTCCTTATAACAGAAACATAAAGAGTTGTCGTTGGTCTTTGAAGGCACCCCCAAAACGATCCGAAATGCACCTGCGGACAACCATATTCCAATAGGCCCCCAGCCGCAACCAACCAGCTCAGAGACAACCATACCGTCCGCAGTGCAGCACCACCACCTTCCAGTTAAACCTTGGTTAACTGGAATGTTCCCGAGCACACCATACCAACGATGGGTCCCACACCATTTTGTACCTCCAAGATAAGAACCGCCTCCAAAGACCAACCACCACCCAGGAACCAAAATAACCCCCCCCAGGAGGAACACAACACTCACCAAACAGGGAGGGCAGGAGGGAAGCTCTCTCTCCCACGTCCAGCTCCCAACTGACGCCCCTCCCCAGAACACCCCACCCTAAAGTGCAGGAGACCCCACCTACACTCTCCTCTACCAACCAGATCCTCCAGCTATCCTTTACCAACCCTAATACAATCATTAACCCCTTACATGTCTTCCTTCCCACTCTGGGCCTAGTCATGCCTGCCCTTCGCTAATTCTTTTCTTCTTTTATCGCAGCGGGCATTTCTGGAGAAAGAATTTGCTAAGTCCCTCAGAGACATACTGCACAATTGTAACTTTGTAACCACCATAGGTGTGCGCAGCCTATGGCATTCAGGTGTGCATCCTAAAGCCCAAAGACGTGTGTGTGTGCGTGTCTATATATATGTGGCCCCAGCACATTCATCTCTCTGCCGGCACAATGAAAGAGAAGCGCGTAAAACACTTCTTTTATGGCAGAGCCAGAAAGAGGGAGATCCTTCCCATCTTCCCACCGGCACACAGAGTAATAATGCTAATGCCTATAGGGTGATTAGGATGTGCCCAGGAACAACCGGCACACCCTGTGTGCACACCTATGGTAACAACTCACAAGGTGAAAGCCTGCAGGAACTGATCTGTGACAGACATTTGTGAACACAACCAAGAACTGCACTGGTACCAAAATTTACATGATTGATTTATCTCTGGGCTGTAAACTCAGTTCAGAAAGAGGATGGTGACCCTGGATGATGCATTAACAAAAAAAGCAGATGACAGGACAGTTGATGTGACCTCTGCCGTAATAAATACCTGGAAGTTTCACACCTACATATTACTGAGCATGAAATATATATAACTGATGCTAGGTCCACTATAAAAATGAGGACAAACCATGGTAGTTGAACCTCGGGTAATACTGCCTTATCCTCCCATAAAGAGCAATGCTCGTGCTAGTGAAACTGGGTGTGTCCTCTGACCCAAAGGGTATATAAGCATCAGCCCTGGAAATGACTGGTGCTCTTTCTTCTCACTAGCCACCCCTTACAAAGCTATAATAATTATATTGCAGATCAAATTGCCAGCTTACTTGACCATTGCTGAGCCAGAGTGACCTGAATACTCTCTTGTTTGCCACCTGCCTTGACCCCTGCCTAGCCCTGACTACTCTCTTGCCTTGAGCCCTTCCTGAACCATAATATTCTCTTGATTGCCACTTGCCTTGATCTCTGCATGGCCCTGACTACTCACTTAATTACTGTCTCCCTCAAACTCTGCCAAGACATGACGATTCTCTTATTGCCTGCCTCAACCCCTGCCTGGACCTCACCACTCTCTTGATTGCTGCCTGTCTGGACCCTGTCTGGACCTGACTACTCTCCTTATTACTGTCTGCCTCGACATGACTACTCTCTTGTTTACCTCCTGCCTCAACCCCTGTGTCCATGCGCAACTGTGTGAGCAAGCGCAGAATTACTGTGAGCCATGCTCATGCACATGTGCGCACATGAGTGCGCTCACACCGGCCACTAAGACAGATGCTATTTGAGCAGCACTTATGCTCTGGATCCAGGGGCAGACTGACCATTCGGGTACTTGGGCACTGCCAGAGGACCCCAGGGTCAGTAGGGGGCCCCATGAGATGTCCCTGGTACCTTTCATAGGCATTTTTAGGTGTGGTTTGAGTGTGGGCAAGGACACAGGGGCCCCATGATCCCCTATTGCCCAGGGGCCCCATGAGTTGTCAGTCCGCCCCTGTCTGGATCATTGCCATATGGTCTTGAACATTTCCTGTATACCTGCTATCTCTTGCTCCATCCAATCAGCTTTTGAACTCTGACTGCACTGACCCCTGGCTTGCCTCTGGGCTACATCTCTGCCTTTTCCAAACCTGCCTCACCATTACTGACTTAGGCCTAGGCTCTGACTACTCTCCTGTCTTGCTTTTGCTCCTAACCTGCCTGCCAGTTACCGATCTGGCTTGCCTGACTCTTTTTTGCACCCTGAGCCTGTGCCCACAATCTGTGCTCAGCCAGCTTCAGTCTACCAAGTGTCTGATATCTGTCTGCCAGCAGCCTGCCAGCCTGTCTTCTCTACTTCTAACGGTCCGGCCCTCATCTGGAAAGACAGACGACTCTCCAGCACCTGTCATTGCGAGAACTGTCAGGCACTCGTGCTACTCTCTACCACATGGTACATGGCACCCTGCCTGGCTGTGACTACTCTCTTGCCTATACCCTAGTGTACAACTTCCACACAGTAGCCTTCTTGTTTCACTCACCCTTTTGTGGGGAGTTCCTGAGGGCTGAACCCTGGTACCAGCCTTCAGCAAACAGCTCTGGGTGCAATTATGAATCCTGGACCTCCACCATCAGGAGCTCTGGTGAAGACCAACTGGTGCTTAGACTCCATTCCTCAGTCAAGCCTGCATCTCACCCACTAGGGGTGTTACCATAACTATATTATCATGCTCGGAGTTTAGCTTTAAAACCTCCCTGCTACACCAAAACCTTTTTTTCATAGTTTTGGGTAGTATAGCCAATTAAAAACCCATGACAAAATAGCTGGAGCCAGAACACGTGAAGCCATTATTTGCATTGGTCATGGTGTATTTATCTGTGGAATAAACCAGGGGGCTCCACCTTTGGTTATACAGGCAACTATAGGCAGACTTAGGGCATGTTATACACACTTTATGTATTAATCATTGCAAAGTATGTTAGTACCTTCGGCTTGGTAGAATTGGTTCTCTGTTCTGCCATGATTTATTAATTTGCTTGGTCCCCACTGACACACCTGGTCATTAGTTGGAGGTTGCTCACACCCATGTATCTTAAATGTTAATATACTACCACTCTACAGTAGTAACAGAAAATAGGCCAGAAGCAACTGGATAGTAGATATATTATAGAAAGTCAAGGTAACCACATTGTATAGATCTATAACTTGGCAATTGAACATGCTCCAAGATGCTGTACTAAATAGGGTGGACATGGACCTATTGTATGACAATCAACTATACTGCGACAAGGCTAACCTAAATTTACCTGGTCTAAAATGGTGAAAATTTATAATGGCGTTAACTAACCCCAAAAGGTGTCCTTGAGTGCATTCTACCCCTACAGCCCTTTAGTGGGTAGGTGTACACATTCTCGATAAGGACACCCTTGGAATTGGCCACAAAGTGCCTTGCACCTAATTGTCAGTATTAGCTGGCTATCGTTGGGGCCCTTCTGTGAGGCAGAGGATTTGTGTCCCTTGTAGTCCACATCCCATTCACTTGTGTTGTGCAGCACTCTGTGTGGACTAAAATTCCCAGTGTCTCCAGCTCAGGTCTGTGGCTGCTAGGGAAAGGGGTGGGAGTGGGGGGCAGCGGGGGATGTTACACAGCCCTCTTTATCAATAGCAGTGGAGAGAGGAGAGGAGCCCACAGCACAGCCACTCCTCCAGTGCTGAGCATGTTATCACCTATATTTATTGTGTGGAACTCTTTTCCTAAAGTGTTTAATTATAGCCTATGGCTTTGCAATATATCTAGCACATTCTCTATCGTTCTATATATATTTGTGACCTGTGCTTATTGCATGCAGCTGTGTTCTGCGTCACTCCATATGAGTTCCTTTGAGGACTCAATATGAGTTCCTTTCAGCTGATTATTTCAATTTTAATTAAGTTTTCTTGCATGGCAGACCACTTCCTGTTATCTCACATATATATTTTTATTATTATAGCCAAATTTACCCCCCTAACTCCTCCCACAGTTTTTACACCACATAGACAGTAATATACGGAAACGTGCGGATCGTTCCCGATTGGTGCGCTATTACTTTGTGGAACGTTTAGCCAAATGGTTCACGAAATATCGGCGTTTTTGTGGTGAAATAGTCCCATAGGAATGAATGGCGGAATGTTCAAAACTAGAGTGGGAGCTGACAAAAGCTAGAGTGTGAGCTGAAAAATCAGGACATGATTTCTAAACTGCCATCACTCCCTCATTTTCAAGCCCACCTACACAAATCTTATATCAAAACGTTCAGCTATCCCTCCTGCCACTAAAAATGTCCACGGCTAAACCATAGACCTGATAGTTTTTCACAATATGACCATTTGTTTGCAACTCACGCCGCCCATTGACATTCATTGAAACTCCACTCTAGCCACCTCAAGTTTGAAGGGCAATTTCTAAACTGCGACTGTGCCTTCATTTTTAATATTTCAGAGACATACTATGCATCAAAATGTAGGTCTGGGTCTTATGATTCTCATAATATAAAGCTCTTCGGAGTAGGATTTATGATTTTTAAACTACAACCGTTTCAAGAAGGCAACCGACAGTGAAGTGAGCAAGTTGGAGCAGTTTGTTTTTAAACTGATCTTCTCTGCCCTTGCTGTAGAGTGAGTTGCCATAGGAACCCAGGTGTGTGAGCAGGAAGCAGAGTGACAAGTCACTCCACCCAGTTACTCTTCCGCCCACTCCAGTTGTAGACTACTGGTGGAGGCAAGAACACTTCACACAATTTCCCCCAGAAATTGTAGCTTTTCTAGTTTAATCAATTGATCTGATTGCTTGGGACAAATTGTCTTTCATTTTTAAGTGTGCATTGTATATCCCTATGTGCTCTTTGAAGCAAATATACATTTTTCATAAAATGAACTAGATTTGACACAATATTTGGATTTGTTCTTAGCAGTGCAGACTCTTTTACTTTTAGAGGGTAATTTTGGTAGAGTTTTCAGGTTTTTTGTCCTTTGGGTACCAATGGGGAGATTTCCTTCCTGCCCTGTGGACTTTAATCGTATGTAGCTTGCATTGGTAAACAGATAGGAAGGTATATTATATTTATATATTATAAACTTATTTTTTTTTTATTTCTTCAGTGGCTTCCTGGTTTCTGGCCTAGGCCAAAATGATGTCATACATCCCAGAAAATTTTGTGGGAAAATTTTCCTTCATCTGGAGGAGGGGCTTTTTCAGCTAAGCACACCCTCCTACCTGCACGCCTGAGCTAACCCATATGGAAGAAAAATATATTTGAAATATATTTTAAAAATGTTCTTCCCAAATATATTGACATATGTTTGAAATGCTACAATTTTGGCCATATTCAATATATTTCAAAATATATTTAAACACATATATATATATATACTGTATGTTGAAATGCATTTTTATTACAAAATATCTGAAAAATATTTTTAAAAATAAATTTCAAATATACTGTATGTCTTTAAAAATACAAATCTACATTTTTGGAATGAATTTACAAATATATGTAAAAATATATGTTAAAAAATAAAATCTGAAGAATATATTTTAAAAAATACATATTTTTAAAACTGTATATTTGTAAAATATATGCTTCAGTACAGTGTGTGTATGTATATATATATATATATATATTATATATATATATTATATATATATTTATTGAAATATATTGAATATGGCAGAAATTGTGGCATTTCAAATATATGTCAATATATTTGGGAAGAATATTTTTAATATATATTTAAAATATATTTTTCTTCCATGTGGGAAGGGCAGGTGGATTCCAGGAAGTAAATACTACATGAAGCACCTGCCCTTACTCAAGGTGGCCATGACTAGAAATGCTAGGGAGTGTTTTTCAAAGTGATTTCTCACCAAAATAAAAGATAGAGTCATAGATGAGGAAGTTTGCTTTGAATAATAAATTAAATAGTGATTTCAGTTTGTGGTGCTCAAATAGAGTTTAGTTCTCTCCGTACTCTCCGCTCCTCGCAAGACCTCCTACTCTCTAGCTCCCTTGTCTCCTCCTCCCATGCCCATCTCCAGGATTTCTCAAGGGCTTCACCCATCCTCTGGAACTCCCTACCCCAATCTATCAGGCTATCGCCTACTCTGCTCACTTTTAGGCACACTCTGAAAACCCATCTCTTCAGGGAAGCCTACCCCGACCCCATATAATACTGGAATCCTCTACTCTTCCTACCACTCCATCCCCCACAGCTAATTACCTCTTGTACCACTAGCCCCTCCCTCCTAGATTGTAAGCTCCAAGGAGCAGGGCCCTCTAATCCCTCTTGTATTGAACTGTATTTTCACACTGTACTGTCTCCCTCCATAATGTAAAGCGCTGAGCAAACTGTCAGCACTATATAAGTCCTGTATAATAATAATAATAGTTCCACTTTAACAGGCTGTGAGCAAGTTCTCTAAAGCAAGGCCAAATCCTCTCTTAGAAAGTTGTCACCAGAACAGTTGTCCCTATTGCAGATTTCCCCTGGCAACTGTAAAAGTTTGGATTTCCGATCACCTTCTGGTCACCAGAACAAACACCGAGGTGACCATCCCCAGAGGAGACACAGACAACAACAACAAAAAAAACTGTGAAAGTGTCTAACTATGCATCACTGTATCCAAAACTATAAAAGAAGACAATGACTTTAGAAACTCTTTTACCTCCTTAGCGGTATTCCCGAGTGTAGCTCGGGGTAAAATTAGAGCACCAAGAGTGGTAACCCCGAGCTACACTCAGGCTTACCATGCGGCGTTGCTCAGGGAGTCCCTGCAGCACTTACCTTGTCCTGCGCTCCCGCGATGTGTCCCCTGCAGCGTCCCCGGCCATCTCCTCCGGCCGATGCCAGCTTCTGTGTTCCGGTCCTTGTGACGTCGGAACGTACGGGCGCCGCCGCCGGCGGGAAATTTGAAATTTAAAAAAAATTTCATTTTTGCTGTCATTGCTGTTTCAATGCATTTCACATACATTTTGTCCCTAC